TTAAATTTTCTAGAAGTTTATATAAATGGAGTCAAACAGTATGTACCGTATGACTTCTTTCCCTAAGCTTATTATTTTGAGATTCATCCGTGTTGTTTCATGTTATCATTAGTTTTTTCCCTTTTTAACGCTGAGCAGTAGTCTGTTCCACAATTTGCACTTTCATTGATTTGTTGAACATTGAGTTATTTCCTGTTTGGGGTCGTTACAGATAAAATTGCTCTGGACATTTGCTTTTATTTCTTTATTTGGCTGCACTGGGTTTTAGTTGTGGCACATGGGATCTTCAATCTTTGTTGCAGCATGCAGGATCTTTAGTTGTGGCACGTGGGACCTAGTTCCCTGATCAGGATAGAACCTGGGCCCTCCTCGTTGGGAGTAGAGTCTTAACTGCTGGACTACCAGGGAAGTCCCCCACCTGTTTTCTAATGTGTTTTCTGACCAATTTACATTCTTACTGTCAGTGTCCAAGGCTGTAGTTCACTCGATGTCCTCACCAACATTTGACATACTGATCCTTTAATTTTAGCCTTTCTGTTTGATTTATATCTTATTGTGGTTTTAATTTGAATATCCCTTTTGCCAAATGGTTTTGAACATCTTTTAATGTACTAACTTGTCACCTTTGTATCTCCTTAGTTAATATATCTTTTGAAATATTTTGTACGTTTTAAAATTAAGCTGTTTATCTTCTTAAGTTATTAGGATTCTTTATTCTAGATACAAGTCCTTTATTGGATATATTTGGGTTTGCAGCCACTCTGTAGGTTGTCCTTTTATTTTCTTAATATCTTTTGAGGAACAGAATTTCTTATTTTGACAATGTCCTGTTTATTATTTTTTTATTTTATAATTCATATTTCTTATGTCATGTTTAAAAAATCTTTGCCAAATTCGAGAACAAAAATGTCCTTCTGTGTTTTCTTCAAGAAGTTTTATAATTTTACCTCTTAAGTTTAGGTTTATAAATGATTTCAAGTTAATTATTATTTACAATATGAGGTAAAGATCCAGGTTAATATTTTTTTACAGTTGTTCTAGCATAATTTGTTAAAAAAGATTATCCTTTTTCATTGAATTTCTTGACACTTTTTTCAAAAATCTATTGACTGTATATATAGGGCTTTGTCTCTGGACCCCCTATTCTATTCCATTGATCTAAATGTCTGTATTTATACCAGTACTGCATTGTCTTGATAGTTTTATAGTAAGTCCTGAAAACAGTAAATATAAGTGCTCCAACTCTATTCTTTCTCTATTTGTTTTGTCTATCCTAAGTCCTTTGTATGTGCATATAAATTTTAGAATCAGCTATCAATTTGTGTGAAAATGTCTGCTGGGAATTTGGAATTGTGTTGAATCTGTATGCTGATTTGTGCAAAATTGACAACAATTTGCCATAAATATATCTCTCCATTTATTTAGGTCTTCTTTCGTTTTATCAACAATGTTTTGTAGTTTTCAGGGTATAAACCTGACACACATTTTTTCAGATTTATCCTTAGCATTTCATATTCCTTGATACTATTTTTTATTGTAATTTAGAGGCAGAAGTCACATAACATGAAATTAATCATTTTAAAGTCAATAGTTCAGTGACATTTGGTACATTCATAGTGTTGTGTATCACAAACTCTGCCTAACTTTCAAAACATGTTCATTACCTCAAAATAAAATCTGTACCCATTAAACAGTTATTGCCCTATTTTCCCTCTGCCTAGGCCCTGGCAACAACCCATCTGCTTTCTGTCTTTACACTTTGGTTCATTCTGGATGTTTCATATAAACAAAAGTCACTGTGTGTCTGTCTTCTTTCACTTAGCATGTTTTCGAGTGCTGTAATATATATGTGAGTTCTTTCCTTTTTGTGGCTGACTGATACTCCATTTTATGCATGTGTCACAGTTTGTTTATTCGTTCATCATTGATGGACCATTTGAGTTGTTTTCACCTTTTGACTATCATGAAGAGTGTTGTCTATGAATGTTCATGTACGAGTATTTGAACATCTGTTTTCAGTTCTTTTGAAGTTATATACCTAGAGCTAAAATTGGTGGATCGTATGCTTATTCTCTATTTAACTTGTTGAGCACATGGCAAGCTGTCGCCACAGTGGCTGCACCACTTTACATTTCCAAAGCAGTGTACAAGGGTTTCAGTTTCTCCATGTCTTCATAGACTTTTGTTACTTTCTGCTTTTATTATTTCAGCCACCCAAATAGGAATAAACTGGAAACTCATCATAGTTTTGATTTGCGTTTTCCTAATGACTGGTTATGTTGAGCGTCTTTTCTTGTGCTTATTGTCTGTTTTTATGTCGTCTTTGGAGAAATGCTTAACCAAGTTCTTTGCCTGTTTTTAAACAGAGTTGTGTTTCTTTTTGTTGCTGCATTCTTTATATATTCTTGATACTATTTTAAATAGTTTTACATTCTAAATTTTGATTTCCTAATTGCTTGTTGCTAGCATATGCAAGTACAGCTGATTTTGTATATTTATCTAATATCATGCTGACTTGCTTTTTATTTCTAGCAGATTTTGCCCTTAGGATTTTCTGTATAGACTATCATGACATCTACAGGAAGTTTTACTTCTTCCTTTACAGTATACCTTTTATTTCACTTGCTTTACTGCAGTTGATAGAAATCTCAGGAAAATTTGTGCATTGAACTTTTGAGAGTGGACATCCTTGCCTTCTTCCTGACCTTACAGAGAAAGCATTCATTCTTTTATTATTAAGCATTATATTTTTTAATTTACAGATTTTTTCCCAAGCTGGGAACTTATTCCTACATTGCTGAGAAATTTTATTATAATAATTTCTGAAATTTATCTACTGCTTTTCTCCATTTGTTGATATCATCAGTATGGCCTTTTTATTTTTGGTCTGTTATCATGATGCACACTCAGTTGCTCAGTTTTGTCTGACTCTTTGTGACCCCATGGACAGATCAAACCCCACCTAGGCTTGATTCCTGGGTGGGGAAGATCCCCTGGAGAAGGAAATGGCAACCTACTCCAATATTTTGCCTGGAAAATCCCATGGATAGAGGAGCCTGGTGGGCTACAGTCCATGGGGTTGCAGAGTTTGACATGATTGAATAACTAAAGGGCAACAGCAGGCTATCAATTATTGAGGGGAGGAAGAGCCTGAATGGGAGACCTAGCCAAGATCTAAGGGTAAAGACAGCTAGATGTGAGACTGTGAACATTTTCAGAGCATTTTAATTCTGGTTGTTACTGTTTTAAACTGGGAAATACTATATTCACTAAAAGCTGTGAAAAAAATTTTAATTTTTTTTTTAACAAAATGCAGTGACTGAAAAATGAGGGGAAGAGGTATTGAAACCTCTTATCAAAGCTGTGGATTTCTCCTTTTCTTTTCAGTTCTAGAAATTTTTGCTTTATGTATTTTGAAGCTTTGTTAGGTGCACAGACATGACTGTTGCATCCCCTTGATCCCTTTCTATTTATGAAATGACCATCATTACCCCTCTTTTCTAATAAATAGTATTTTCCTTCATTAGCAACTTACTCTGATGATCCTAATTTTCCCATCACCTATCAGGAAACTGGTTTATTCTAAAGAAAGTACTTTCTAATGTACTCCTTGGAAGGAAAGTTATGACCAACCTAGATAGCATATTAAAAAGCAGAGACATTACTTTGTCAATAAAGGTCTGTCTGGTCAAGGCTATGGTTTTTCCAGTGGTCATGTATGGATGTGAGAGTTGGACTGTGAAGAAAGCTGAGCACCGAAGAATTGATGCTTTTGAACTGTGGTGTTGGAGAAGACTCTTGAGAGTCCCTTGGACTGCAAGGAGATCCAACCAGTCCATCCTAGAGGAGATCAGTCCTGGGTGTTCATTGGAAGGACTGATGCTGAAGCTGAAACTCCAGTACTTTGGCCACCTCATGTGAAGAGTTGACTCATTGGAAAAGACCCTGATGCTGGGAGGGATTGGGGGCAGGAGGAGAGGGGGACGACAGAGGATGAGATGGTTGGATGGCATCACTGACTCGATGGACGTGAGTTTGAGCGGACTCCGGGAGTTGGTGATGGATCAGGAGGCCTGGCGTGCTGCGATTCATGGGGTCGCAAAGAGTCGGACACGACTAAGTGACTGAACTGAACTGAACTGAATGGTCAGTTTTCCAAAGATGTGATGATCTGCCTCAATAAGTAACAAAAATTTGAAACAACATTTTTAAATCATAGAGTGAATTTTTAGTGATGTTATATATAAATTTCAAATATGTTTCATCATTGGATTACATGCTTTTCGAAGTACTTTCTAAGCTTGACCTTCTGTAATTCTAAATAATTGTATATTATGACTACTTACATCTAATAATTAGATGAAATTGCTTCATATTTTTTTATCTCATGAGTCTTTTTGTCTGTATATTGTCTATTCTTAAAGTGTCTCTTCTGATACATACTCTGGTATTTGTACTCTTAGACAAACTAGATAAAAAGCATGGTTATCATTTATTTATCAACTATGTACAGTATTGTTTCTTTTTTGATATGAAGTGTTGTTTAAGTGTACCTATTAATATAATGTGTTCTCTTCTCAATTGGATTATAAACTTAAACAACAGGATTATATATTTTCCTTCCCCTCCCATCCTGACCCTCAGCCAAAATACCCAAAAAAACTGACAGAAACACTGAGCAGATAACATGGGTTTAATTAGTATTCTATTTACTAAAAGATATAATTCGTTTTCTTGCACTAAGTGCTAAAGAGAAAGACTAGGTTTGGTGTTTTGCTATTGAGACAGAAGGTATTGGAATTTTAAATTCTAGAGTTGAATGACAAGGAAAGAAGCCTGTCACTTTTGTACAATGACAAGATTAGTATATCATTGAACTTCCAGTGAATATGTTAAATGTGTTAAGTAATATTCATCTACCCTTTTTGGAGTTTGTTTTATTTTTAATTTGATATATATATATATCATAAAGATAAATTTTTGCTTTTATTTTCTTAAAGCAGTTCTTGGAACACCTCACAGCTTGCCACATCTGATGAATCCATCCATCTCCCCTGCATTTTTACATTTGAATAAAGCACATCAGGTATATAAATAGCATTGAGTATTGAAACATAAAAAATTTGGAGTAAATATTTTGTTTGTTTTTAACACTTAAAGTTCTCAAGAAATTAAATGAGTGTTTTGTTTTTAAATAGAGTTCTTAGTCTAAATGCACCTACATAAAAACAGAACTTAATAAGGTAATCAAAGCAGCATAGCTTATATTATTTACTGATTCCTATTTGTAGGACATTAAGTAGTAAAGAGGTATATTTTGTGGTATATTTTTCTAGAAATAAATCAGTAGCTCAAAGCAAGTCTTATATGGTTTTAACCCAAAAACTTACAGAAAGAAAAATAAATGAACAATAACTCTGTTCTTAAAACTTAATCAGTTATGCATGAGACAGGGCGCTCAGGGCTGGTGCTCTGGGATGACCCAGAGGAATGGGATGGGGAGGGAGGTGGGAGGGGGGTTCAGGATGGGGGACACATGTACACCCGTGGCAGATTCATGTCAATGTATGGCAAAAACGACTACAATATTGCAAAGTAATTAGCCTCCAATTAAAATTAATTAGTTTAAAAAATCAGTGTTATAAAGATAATTTATATGAGTGAAAAATATTTTTCTTACCTTTTTCAGATAAGTATTTTAAATATGTCTGTGTAGTATGTCTCCATAATATTGGAGATGAGTATTACCTACTAATTTCAGGTGCTATTTAAGGCTATATCTCTATAGAAGCATAATTACAAATCAAACCTAATATTAATATGAAATAGATGGTTGTTGTAGGTTGAGTAAATGAATGTCTGTTCCTAAACCCAACTTTTTTTTTAATTTATTTTTTTAATTGATGGATAAATTTACAGAATTTGTGTTTTTCTGTCATATGTTAACAAGAATCAGCCATAGGTACACCCATGTCCCCTCCCTCCCTTCTCCCTCCCCATCCCACCCTTCTAGGTTGTCACAGAGCCCTTGTATGATTTCCCTGAAAATACAGCAAATTCCCATTGGCTATCCGTTTTGCATATGGTATTGCAAGTTTCCATGTTACTCTCTACATACATCTTACCCTCTCCCTCCTCCCCTCCCCACCAGGTCCATAGGTCTGTTCTCTATGTCTGTTTCTCCATTGCCGCCCTCCAGATAAATTCGTCAGTACCATCTTTTTAGATTCCGTATTTAGGCATCAGTATACAATATTTATATTTCTGTTCCTGACTTGCTTCACTCTGTATAATAGGCTCTAGGTTCGTCCACCTCATTAGAACTGACAGAAAGGTGTTCCTTTCTGTGGCTGAGTAGTATCCCATTATATATATATATATACACATACATATATATGTAGCACAGTTTCTTTATGTATTCATCTGTCAATGGACATCTAGGTTGCATCCATGTTCTAGCTATTGTAAATAGTGCTGCAATCAACACTGGGATACATGTGTCTTTTTCAGTTTTGGTTTCCTCGGGGTATATGTCTAGGAGTGGGATTGTTGAGTCATATGGCAGCTAAACCCAAGGGAAAGGCCTGTTATTTATTTTTTATTCTTAGAATCTAACATAGGACCTTACACATTAGTCATTCATTTACTCAACATGTACTAGACACTCTGCTAGCCATTTATGCTATAGCATTGTACAAAATATTCACAGTCCTTGTTCTTACAGAATTTCAGCAAATAGAGAAAACAGTTAATTACAGTAAGATTTAAAGTGATATGGGAGAAGAGTCCAGAGTTTGACAATATTCATTTTATTTTAAAGACCAGATATGTAAAATAAAGACTGAAAGAAGACTTCCTTGGTGGCTCAGACGGTAAAGAATCCCCCTGTAGTGCAGAAGACCTGGGTTCAGTCCCTGGGTCTGGAAGATCCCCTGTAGAAGGGTATGGCAAACTACTCCAGTGTTCTTGCCTGGAGAATCCCATGGACAGAGGAGCCCGGCGGACTACAGTCCGTGGGGTCGCAGAGAGTCAGACACGACCGAGCGACTGATACAAAGACCAGACTGCTTAATATGGCCTTGAGGACCTGTCCAGGCTGGCTTCCCCTGCCTCTCGCGCCGTAGGTGTTCCTGCCCCAGCTGTGGTGAACTGCCTTTGGTCCTTGGAGGCCGTTCTTCTCTTCTCCTTAGGTCTCTGCTCCTGCTGTTCCTCCTGCTCGAGATCATTCCCGTCCCAACACCACCTCATTCCCCCAGACTTCATCTAGCTATTTCTCTGCAGCCTTCAGGTCTCTCTGCATGAGTTAGTTGCTCAGGGAAGCCTTCCTTGAATTTATCAGTCTAAATCAAGTTCCACCACCCTTTGTTCTCATCGTTCCTTGTATTTTTCCTTCATACACTCATTACTATTATTAATTGTATATTTTTATATTTAATTAATGTCTCCCTTCCTCAGGGGACTATAAGATCCATGAGGGCAGATCATATTGTTTTCCTCTCTATGTAGCACAGTGCCTGGCATATAGAAGTGCTCAATAAGTTTTTGTTGAATGAATGAAATGAGCAAATAAATGCTTGAAAGATACTGATATCAAAGCCAGAAGGGAGTGAGGAAAAGGGAGAAAGGATGAAAGAAAAGGAGGAAGAAATGTGTAATTAGTTTCATGACTGCATGGTCACATCTTGTATGTTACTGAAAGAATTAATTAGTGTTGCTTGAATTGGAAAGTAGGATAAGAAGCTATTGCTTGTGCTCAGATCAATGGGGGAATTCAACTTTAAAATGAATTGGGTTACATAACAATTACCTCTTCAAAATTAAGCTAACTTAATGTTTTGTCATTTTCACAGAGCTCACTTATGGGTAATACTTCTAATTTATTTCTTCAGAATCTTTCTCATGTACCAGTGGCTCAGCAACAGTTAATGAAGTTTGAGAATATACATACTAATAATGTAAGTATGGAATTTTTTGTTTTGAAATGAGTTCACTGCTTTTCTGTAGTCAGGCTGTTGGTCAGGTGGTTTATGAATTTTCACATGTATAGTTTTTTTATTGGGTTATATCTTGCTGCCACAAGCAAAATTCTTTTTTCTTTTGCAGAAACCGGGCTTACTTGGAGAACCCCCAGCTATGGTACTTCAGACTGCTGTAGGGATAGGGTCACCGCTTCCGTTGAAAACAGAGTTGGGCCATCTTGGAGAAGCACATAAAAGTAAATGATGTGTATTTGCTGAGACGTCAGTAAACAGTCAGATTTGAGATTTAAAGATAGTGTACCTGTATTCTACTTGTATTTACAGGAAGGTCAGATTTGAGTTTTTTTCAGTCATTTAAAGTTTCAAGAGCTCTCTTGGCTTTTCTATTTTTAACATTAGAATGCTATTGATAAGTTATGTATTGATGGACTTCCTTCCATGCCAAGATAAGACTTTCTCTGTTGGATATGCTTTAATATTTGGTGATGAATCATAGCAGCATGAGGCAAAGACATAGATGCATTGAGACTGGCATGCTGCCCACTGGGCTGACAGCACATTACAGAGCGATCCACTTAACTTTTGCCTGGATGAAGAAACTGTTAGCTTTTATTAAGAAATATCTGGTAATTATAAATTTAAAGTTTGATTATTAAGAAATATCTGGTAATTGTAAATTTAAAGTTTGACTATTTGTATAATTTTTAAAATGTGAACTCCCACATAGTAGCAGAAAAAAATAATGTTACTATGTACTTCTAAAATACAACAAACTTAAACAGAACAATTATTTTTCTTTTTAGAATAACAGCATGGAAGTATACCAGGATTTCTTACTTGAGTGTGATTTTGAAAGGCATTTTAAGTTTGAAGTTTCACTGAAATTTGTTTAAAGTGAGCATGCTGAGGGGGAAAAAAAGAGAAAAGCCATCACAAGTGATTTTTTTTTTAAAGTCAGTTAAATATGGGTAGCATATTGAACCTCTTATACATGAAGCCAAGTAAAATACTTAAATGATCAATTCAGACTATTGGAATTGACTGGGAAAAAGTTAAACCATTATACAGACAGATACAGAAATTTTTATGGTGTGATGAGTCCTAAAAATTAAAATTTTGTATGCTTAAAAGCTTATGCAGATATTTATTATTTACTTTGGGTTAAATAATTAGCCAATTGCTTTAGCATTGCTGCTTTAAGAACACTGAAAATTTGAAGTGTTCAAGTAAATATATTGTTCAAAAATAGAACTGTGAATCTATCTCCAAATATTAAGTACTAAAAGTAAGAAATTTGTTTAGAGAATTTTTAAAGTATAACTTTGATTTAATTACAATAGTTATCAAAACTAGTTCTTTCATTTAGCTTTGACCTATAGATTTTTAAAAAATGGAATGATTCAGAGTTTTCCTATTAAAATTTCTATTCCTTTCATAATTTCTTATTAATCCCTGTGAATAAAAATGTAAAACTTTCATGTATTAAACTTTCATTTGGTGCTTATCCATTCACAAATATTGATGTTTTTTATACCAGTGGTATGCTGATGTTTAAAAATGAACTCTCTGAGTTAAAAAAAAAAAATCTTGATTTGTAGTTTTTATGGACTTTTGTTTGTAAACAGTCCAACCAAGGCTGATTTCGGGTTAACCATGCAAAGATATTGAACTCAGGAGCTGAGAGGAGACAGTATATTTGACTCATGAGTTGGTACAAGTCAGCTGACTAAATATAATTATTGGGTTAATGTAACTTTAATAATTTTTGACTGTCAGAGAATTTTTTAAACCGAAGGCTTATTTAATTATTCCCTTCAAACATAGAAGCTGGCAAATTACAGTGACTGGGCTTTTTTTTTTTTTTTTTAAAGACACTGATATAACTTAAATGCAAAAAAGTACATAAATTTTGCTGTCAACTTCTAAAATGTACAATTAAAACTTGGAATGAAAGAATATAGTATCCTTGAGATTATACTGAAAGATGCTGAAATAGGAAAAGCATGATTACTCTTATTTTTTTTTCCTTTTTTTTTCCATTTTTTATTTATTTATTTTTTTTCCATTTATTTTTATTAGTTGGAGGCTAATTACTTTACATCATTACAGTAGTTTTTGTTATACATTGAAATGAATTAGCCATGGATTTACATGTATTCCCCATCCCAGTCCCCCCTCCCACCTCCCTCTCCACCCGATCCCTCTGGGTCTTCCCAGT